TAAATATCACATCTCATTTTTACTTTCTTGGAATACAAACTAAACTTAAAATTCAGTTTTCTTCCTTCTCCTATCCTACATCTAATTCCTCATATTTATTTCACATTTATCTTTAAAGTGGATGTAAAATATAATGACAGCAACTTTCTTGCTATTTTTCCAGGTCAAGACTTGAGGACCTCCGTCCTGGAATCCCAGAATTTCTGACTCTGCCCTTTTCTTCCTACAGCCCATTCTCCATGGAGGACTCAGAGCACTTTTAGTATGACATCTGTGAAAGCATTTTCTGCAAAAATATAAGAAAATTTCTGTTCTGGAGTGTTGGGACGGATGGCATTTCACCCTAAACAAGCATTTTCCAGAAATATGCTTAGTTCACAATGTGTTCTTTGTTTCCTAATTAAAATACTATACCTTTAGACACCCATTCCCTCAATACCCTACCTAAAAAAGCAGCCTGTTTCCAGGCTTAGTTCAATTTTACATTCTTTTACTTCATTAACTCTTCATTCTGTGTTGCTATTATTTTATTTATTTTTCTCATTTCACAAACAGAAGAAATGCAAAAGTATTATAAAAATGAAAAAATTGTAAATACATTCTGGCCTCCACTTTCATTTTGATTTTCATGTTATTCTTTCAAACATGCTTTAGTATTGTTTTTAAAAAAACTATCAGTCTCTTTTTTACTCAAAAAGTTTGGTGTCTATTGGTAGGAATCAGAGGCATAAACTATTTTATATTAATGTTTAAACTTTTCTACTCTTATGGTTTCTTTTACATATTGTTCATGAATTTTTTATTTAATCTATAAAACAGCTTCTTTTTTATACTATACCTCTTGAAGCCTCACAGAAAAAAAATTGGTAAAGATATAATATTTTCTAGGTTGCCTTTTCCCATCCTCTAGGCTTTATCAGATAATTTAGTTTCAATATTTAAGGAATCTTAATCAAAGGATAACTAATCCCACAGGTCATTTGTCTTAGCCAATGTCTTGGATTTAAAGTCTCATGTGCTCCATGGTGGCCTCCTTAAGACTCTTGCTACTTGTAAGAATTTGATGTAGTGCTTCCAGCCACTACAGCACTGAAGAAATGAATTTAAATTTCTCCATGTCTTAATAATGCCATCACCACATTTACATCCACATTATTCTAGTGCCTAATTTGTCAATAAGATGAATCCCAAAATCAAACTGAGAACTAATAACTCCTGTTATATGAAAAGCAGTGATAATTAGTCATAATGTTTTCATTTCCATAACCTGATTGACATCAAATTTTAAAAATACATTTTTCTTAAAGTTTTATCCTGTTTGTCTATTTTTATGACCTCTGACTCTTTCATCTGTTCCTTATCCAAATCCAACAATCTAACATTATTGTTGAATCTCATTTAATAGCTGAGTTTCACATCTAGTTATATATTGCAAACTAGACCTGTAACTGAGCCCTGTCCCCAAGTCACTTGCCGTTTGACTTTAGGATAGTTTCTACTAACATGACACTGTGGACAGCATCACTTTTCTAAGAATTTCCAGAGAAGAAGAAGGAGGAGAAAAAGGAGGAGAAGAAAAGAAAGAAGAGACAGGGTGTGTGTGTGTGTGTGTATGTGTGTGTGTGTGTGTGTGTGTCTAGTGGACAGATATTTTAGCAGCATTCTCACTGTGTATTTTGATGAGTTATTTTGGGTGGCAGCAGTAGCAATTATGTCCATCTTTAGACTCAAGGATCATTCACAGTCAGTCATGTGTATCTTGATCTCTTGAAAAGTAGTAACTGTGATGGTCAGGGTTCATATTCAGGATCTAGAATGATATGAAGGAGGAACTCTGTTCATGTCTGTGGTGGGAAGACCCACCAATATTTGGTGACATCATTCCCTAATTAGGATACTTATACTGGATTGTATAAATAAATAAAGGGAAAAACAGCTCAGCTGAATTTGTTTATCACTATCAATGTCTTGCTGCTGTTTCCTCCTTTCCATGTTGTACTACAACCACATTCTGCAAGTCAAACAAATCCATTCCTTTTTAGATCTCTTTTAGCAGAATATTTTATCACAGCAACAGAAAACATAAAAGACAGCGGCCACAACACCTCCAATTTTGCTATTTATACTTTTATTCCCATAGCCTGAAGTAGGTTAAGTTTACTATTTTCATTTCTTGAGAATTTCCAATCATTCTTTGGGCAGTTCTCTCCATGGACACTCATGGTCCCCTATATTTACTTGGATAGATATTGAGTGAGATAGTCTGACCTCTTAGAAAATGTGTTTTATGACTTTCTATTATAATTACTGGTTACTTGGCCCACTGAGTTACATAATCCTCTGAGTTGTATCTCAGAGAATCCACCCAACTAAAATAGTGTCTCAAAATGTCACATTTTGCACAAACTATCTGCAGTTGTATCTCACATTGCCTCTTTATATTTATTCCACTGAGTTTTCATAAAACTGTAACCAATACTCAAAAATAAGTACATATACTTCTACATTTATTATTTGATTGCCACTTGCCATTTTACTACTAATCATCCATTATATTAGCAATAGGCAAATATTAAAGAAATCTACTTGACCCTATCTCTATCTGTAGCCCATAATGAGGTTCTTGAGTATATTGAATTCTAAAATAGCATCAATTCAATAATACATAGTATAATCCAAAGCTATATTCACACTCCTTCATCTGTCCATATTGTTAGACAACTTGATTGTCTCTATATGTTTTCTGCCATATTTCAGTTTATTTTATGACACATTACTACATCGTCAGTAGATTGACTTTTATTTCACTTTCTTACTGGAATTTTGAGAAAGTGTATTTTTCCTAAAGTTAAAAACTCGTGATGTGGGAGTGATTTCTTATTAATAAAGAAACTGCCTCGGCCCTCATAGGACAGAAAATTAGGTAGGCGGAGTAGACAGAGGAGAATGCTGGGAAAAAGAAGCTGAGTGAGTGAGTCGCCATGATGCTCCCACTCCAGACAGACGCAGGTTAAGATCCTCTCTGGTAAGCCAGCTCATGGGCTACACAGAATATTAGAAATGGGTTAGAACAATATGTAAGAGCTAGCCAATAAGAAACTGGACCTAGCCGGGCCAGGCAGTGTTTGAAAGAATTCAGTTTCCGTGTAATTATTTCGGGCATAAGCTAGCCAACGCGGGTGGCTGGGTGCCGGGGACGCAGCCCCGCCGCTCTTATTTCAACAAACTCGTGTTAGATTTATAATGTAATGTGTGTGTTTTACCACATTTCTAGGTTTACAGCTTTCTTCAACATAGTATGACATTTTCTTATTATTTGCTTACTTTCCCTCTATCCTTTACTTTCCATCATTCTAATGCCTGTAAAACTGATCAGAATCCCCAGACATATCTGTCAAATTGTTTTGCAGTATATTTTATTCCTTAGAGTACATTTATTCCATTACAGATTTTTCTAGGTTATTATCCATGTTCTTAATTTGGTTACTGACCCTTCTGAACAACTATTGACCATTCTCTTCTTACAGGGCTTATTATGGTTGAAGCTCCTTACTTAGGAGCCAGCTTATGCCTAGTGTCATAGCTGGATGCTGGCTGCAGTACCAGGAAGACCCCACTCCCCTAGTTACAATTTTCTAACATCTTTTGTTCAATAGGTACAAAGGCTTTAGTCAAATTAATTACTTCTCCCTTTATTTTTGGAGAACTTACCAAATAATTGAATTCAACACAGCCCATGTTGACCACACAGGGAAGCCCAAGTTTAAATAATCCCATGAGCTGGTGTAAATCCTCACTCATTTGTGTTTGTATAAATCTCACGTTCATCATCTCCAGTGCCCTTTTTCTTGTCCTGAGTTAGGAAACAAGGAAAAATGTAGTGGAAGGAACGGGCAGGCTCAAGGAATTGTTCTCCACAGTCTTCGCTCTACTTTGCTTTCCTTAACTCTTTCTTGGAACAGATATGGCCTCATGATAGATATCCATCCCCATTATTGCTCCAATTGCTAAATTCACTTTTTGTTGGATTTTTAATCATCCCGTCTGGTATCACCATTTTATATATGACATATAATATGGAAACATAAGCCTGTATGTTTAACATTTGTCAGCTTTACTTCTGAATATGTCTTTTTCCATTGGTCATCAAAATGTCTGTTTCTTAACTATTTCTAGATATTATTATTCTTCATAGACATTAAAGTGTTCTTAATACTTCCCGAATCTACACAAGGAGTTTTTTTATTGGATTCTTTTGTCTCCCTACTGTGTTTCTGAGCATAGATTAAAATGATATAAAATTAAATTTTACCAACATCAGTTTCTTCTTGTTGCTACTATAATATTTATCTGCTATAAGATTTTCCCCAATAATATAACATTCTTAAGGTCATAGCATAATTAGTATTGTACATATAGCAAATGTTTTACAGAAATCTTTACACTTACCAGAAATACTTTATAGAAACAGTAACAAATAATTATTTTAGTACACAATGTAAAACAAAATATGTGGGCAAACAGTTATCTATGCAGAAGGAAACAAATAGTGATCTAAACAGGAGCGTTCTGAAACAAATTTTTAAAGAGTTAATTAAATTACCAATTTATATCTCAATAAATATACTATTTTTCAAACAAAAGATATTTTACTTCTAACTTGTGAGTTTATTGTCAGCTCAATATGTATTTATTTTATACTTCTGTTTGTTTAATAATAAAGCTGATAAAAATTCCCCACCATAATTCACACAGGCTTATACTAACACCCAGTGTTCTCAAAGATAATAATAATAATAACCTAATTTATTTTCTGTATTAAAAATTATTAGATTTTTAAAAAGTACCAATCCAAGTTCCCACTCCTTCCCCTCCTCCCATAACTTCCACATACCCTCCCACCCAACCCTCCTCCAATCCTCAGAAAGGATAACGCACATTGCTTTTGAGAAGTTCCAAGGCCCTCCCTACTATAACTAGGCAGAGCAAGATATACATACAAAAAGAATAGGATCCCAAAAAGCCAGTACATGCAGTAGGGATGAATCCTGGTGCCACTGCCAGTGGCCACGCAGTCTGCCCCAGCCATGCAACTGTCAACCACATTCAGAGGAAATAGTTTGGTCCTATGCTTGTTTCTTCCCAGTTTGGTTGGAGTTGATGAGCTCCCTTAAGCTCAGGTAGACTATTTCAGTGGGTGAACCCATCGTGGTCCTGACCTCTTTGTTCATATTCTCATTCCTCACATTCTTCAACTGGTCTTTGGGAGCTCAATCCAGTGCTCCAATGTGGGTCTTTCTGAAAGGAGAGTAGCATTATTGTTAAATTCTAACTTTAATACGTGGTGATTCAATAAGACACAGGAGTTACTCCAATTTTTTGGTATCTGTGGAGGTTTGCTTTGTTACCGAGTATGTGATCAATTTTAGAGAAGGTTCCATGAGGTACTGAGAAGAAGGTATATTCTTTTCTGTTTAGGTGGAATATTTTATCGATGTCTGTTAAGTCCATTTGCTTCATGATATCTCTTAGTTCTTTTATTTCTCAGTTAATCTTCTGTTCAGTTTACCTGTCCATTGGCGAGAGTGGAATATTGAAGTCTCCTACTATTAGTGTATGGGTTTTGATGCGCAATATAAGTCTTAATAATGTTTCTTTTATATATGTGGGTGCTCTTGTATTAGGGGCATAGATGTTCAGGATTGAGACTGCATCTTGATGGATTATTTCTGTTATGATTATAAAGTGTCCTTCTCAATCTCTTCTGATTGATTTTAGTTTTAAATCAATTTTGTTAGATATTAGGATAGCTACACCTGCTTGTTTCTAAAGTCTATGTGATTGGAAAACCATTTACCAAGCCCTTTACTCTAAGGTAGTGTCTGTCTTTTGGGTTTCATGTGTGTTTCTTGTATACAGCAGAAACAATAAGAGCTAGCCTAAGAAAAAGCCACAGTTCTTTCAGTTGTGACTATTTATATATCATGTATATATACATATATAATGTATATATAGATTGTGTGCATGCGTGTGTGTGTGTATGTATGTATGTATGGTTTAGAATTTGATATGGAAAATAAGGAAGGGAAACTGATATCTTTTTAAGTGGTTTTTCCTCAAAGGGTGTGTGCCTGAGGTGACAGGGGACTGGAACAGATGGGGCCCTAAGGAGTATGACATTCTTGTCAGACCCTGAGAAGCTAGCCTGAGGCACTGCATGAGGGGTCTTTAGACAAAAGCCCCAGCAAAGCCATGGAAGCTCTCACAGAGAGGGAGGAAGAGAGCTTGCAATTGTCTGTCCAAAGGATGTCACACCAGACTGCTGTGGAAAAACTGATCACATTCCCCCTTGGCTTTCTTCTGTTCCAGTCTCTCAAGTCACTTGGCAACAAACGAGAGGAAATGGAAGTGGGACAGAGCACCAAGATGTGGGTGGTCTGAAAGAGGTCAATCCATGCTCCGCTTCCGAGAAAAAAAAATTAATTATGCATCAGTTGTTCATTTCATCCAATTAACATGGACCAGTTGGAAGTTGTATGGATTTTGAAAAGTACAGGATGACCAGATTTTCCTATTGACACTGACTCAGACTTCTCCAATAGGCCATTTTAACTAAGTTTACTGATAACAGTTTATTTTTTACTTTACAGGGTAATACTTTTTCTCTTGGTATGTAAATGATTTCCCCAGTCCCTGGGACACATTGAGCAAGTTCAGTTCATGCTGCTGTCCTCTGATGTACATCTCAGTTTAACACATGATTTTTTAAATGATTTTTTTGAATCATTAAAGATGTCTTAAAACTGGCAACTTAAAGCGGATTTGAGTGGCTTTGTTTCTAAATTATGTTTCACATTAGGACACAAACTTCCTTCTAAATTCTTGTATTCTTATTGTCTAGAGAATGAAATCCAAGCCCACAGTTATATTACATAAAGATTTACAATTTTAACTCTGGCTACTAGCTTAGCCTGTATTTAGAATGAGCCTAGTTCCATTCTAAAATCACCCACAGATTTATCGATATTAAAAATCATAGTTCCCTGGATCTGCCAAGCGTTTTATACTTATGAAACATTGTTCCCATTTCTCCCTTTGGATGGTATGCCTTACTACCACACAAGAATCTGTAATATAGATTGTACTTATTTATGTACTTACTAGTACTAAAGTAAATAAACAAATGAATAAATAAATTCCCAAGGACATCACCCCTCCATTCCTTTAATGTAATGATTTATTATATTTAACTGAAATATATTCATTTAATAATCTAAGTTGAAAACTCTTGAAAAAAGTTTATAAAATTAGAAACTTCCCTGTATGTAAGTAAACACAAATCACTAAACATGAAAACTAATTTAAACAGAAATTTTCTAGAAGAAGTATTTCAAAATTGCCTGTTTACATGTCATTCTAAGGACTTTTAACTATGCTTTAGCTACAACTTATACTCAACAATAACCTGTGACTTCTAAACAGGTTATATATAATCCAGATCAATATACCATCTTGGAAATTCTGACTAAGGTCAAATATTTAATCCACTTTCCCATATTGAGGTTTTGAAATCATAAATATAATATGTCTGAAAGCCAAATGTACGTCTTACTCCTCATTGAACTCTCTCCCAGTAACACAAATCAAGCATCCTTGAGAAACATATTACATCATGCTTTCCCATTACAGGACTGTAATGTATCAATGGGACATAAAGACTTGCAAACAGAACATGAAATTTTCTGAGTTCATATTTTGATTTATTTTCTGTCTTTCATCTAGTTAAACCTCCTAAATATTATCTATCCACCCGTGCCTGCCCCAAAAGAATTTACCTACACAATCTATAACTGTATTATATTACCAAACATGCATTGCCCCTTTACCGATCCAGCGTATATTCATTCCACTCATTTTAAAGCTCTTCAACTCTTCACACACTTTAACAAGAGAAAGTCCTATTCTAGTGTACAAGGCACTATCTCAGTTGGTGTGTATTGAGCTGTCTATCTTTATTCTTTTTTAATTTAGCTTTAATTAAATGGAAGTGTGTCTCAGCATGTAGGTATTTGCATTTGAATATGGGTGTCAAAGGAGAATAGAGGCATTAGATTTTTCTGGCGATGGTGTTACAGAGACTATTGTGGACTACCTGACTTGGGTGATGAGAACTAAACTCATAGCCTTGGGCAGAGCAGCAAGCATTCTTAAGCACTGAGATATCTTTCTAGCCTTCTACCCTTATTTTAAAAGTCATTTCAGCTTCCAAGTAATTTTGATCCATTAAAAGTGGTATTACAAGTTTTCAAGTTGTCTTCCTGACTTCATTTTACATACTAAATTACTCTGAGGAGATTTACGGTTCTTTCTTTTGTTTTTGTTTCTCCTTCTTCCATCATCTGGTCATCGGTCACTCTAGGGAGGACATTGTCCAAACATAATGTTTTGTTGCATCTAGCACTCAAGAGTAGATTTTATGTCACACAGTGATTTTCCATAAACACAAGTCAAGATCTTTTGATCTGATCCTCATACAAATGCCACAAAGGATGAAGTTTCTAAATAAAGACTGTGATTACATTATGCTGACCGTACTAGGGCTGGTTCATTGTGTGTGTGTGTGTGTGTGTGTGTGTGTGTGTGTGTGTGTGTGTAAGTGCGCGCGTGCCTGTATGTGTAAATGCGTGCTGCAGCAACTGAATGAATTTCTCACTGAGGACTATTTCATGATCAAACTGTACAGAGGAATAATGTGTTTACAGCTAAAAATAAACACATATATCTTCACTTATATTCAGTTTGCTTAAATCTTAGGTCTCAAGTTATCTTCTTAACGAAGTGATGCCTTCATAAATTATCTTCCCTAAAATAGGCACTAAAAATAAATATAGAAAGAATCTGAGAGTTTCACATTAGAAATTCACAGTGGACATGCATTATAAAAATCCATGGGACAAAATTAAATTATGATTAAAAAAGAAAGTACGCATAGATGGAATTGCCACTATGCAGTAAGCAGTGTTAAAATACAAGCAAAGTGCCTCTCAAAATCATATCAAACACTTATTTCACTTAATTAAACTTTCATGATAGAAATAAAAGCATTTGTTCTTTCCAAGAGATAACTTGCTACAAATTCTACATGTGTAATGCTAGGTTATTCTTACCTGAAGAACGCAATATAATGTAAATAAACCTCAATCCAACCATTTCAGTTACCATGAGCATGCCAGTCCTTACATTTTAGCAAAACATATAATAACTAGGACACTGGGCAGTGGGGGAGAGGGTTCCTGAATTAGCCTTGTCCCATAGTCAGACTGATGCCTATCTTGACTATCACCATCAAATCTTTGTCCGGAGACAGATGGAGACAGAGACAGAGACTCACATCAGAGCACAGGACTGAGCTCCCAAAGACCAGTTGAAGAGGAGAAGGAGGGAGAATATGAGCAAGGAAGTCAGGACCACGAGGGGTTGGTCCACCCACTTAGACAGTGTGTCTGATATAATGGGACCTCACCAAATCCAGCTGGACTGGGACTGAACAAGCATGGGATCAAATTGGACCCTCTGGATTGGGCTGACAATTGGGGACCACTGAGAAGCCAATAATAATGGCACTGGGATTTGTCTCTACCGCATATGCTCGCTTTTGGGGATCCTGTTCTATTTGGATGCATATCTTCCTAAGCCTGGATGGAAAGGGAAGGACCTTGGACTTCCTACAGGGCAGGGCACCCTACCCTCTTTTAGGACTGTAGGGGGAGGGGGAAGTGAGTGGGGGAGCAGAAGGAGGGGAGAAAGTGGAAATTTTGAATGGTATTATTTATAAATTAAAAGTTATTAAATAAAAAGAACATATATTAGATATGATCACCAAGGAAAGCAGAAATCAATTACAAAAAGTGCTGTAAAAGTTACAGAAATGTGGCAACCTAGATGTTCTAGAGCCAACTTTGAACCTTTGAACTATATATAAACATTTTATTGTTTGTTCTTGAGACTGTATATTAATTACATTTCTCCATTTCTTTTCCTCCCTCCAAACTGCACATATAATCCTCCCTCACTCTCCCTCAAATTCATGTCCTCTTTTTTCACTAGTTGTTATTGGAAGTACATAAGTGTGTGTATATATATACATACTTATATATATATATATGTACATATAATGCTACTACTTTCAGGGCTGATTGTTTGGCACTAGACAATCAGTTAGAGTACTCTTTTCTAAGGAGGATCACCTCGCACACTGCCAGTTATCCCAGTTGCCTGTAGTTCCTTGTGTAGGGTTG